ATATATATTAGCTGGTAACCACCTATGCGATCGTCTATGCGCACATCTAGACGGCAGATTTAAATTGAAACCAAATACTCCACTAAGTGAGTACAGGACAGAGAAACATAATCGAGAAGAATTCGAAGTTAAAGTCACTATACTCAGACAGAAATCCAAAATATCAGCGCGTAAAACTCTTGAAGCGTTTTGGATAAACCACAGAGATCCAGATTGAACCGCATGTATGTCCGGAAGAAATACGAGTTGTTACTACCGGACATTATCATTATATCCACCATCAGCATCGTATATAAAAGGGCATCACTGAGTGAGGATGCCTCATTCGAGAAGATGGCTCACTGAGGAAGACTTGACTCGACACGAAGGCGAAGCTGCAACGTCGAGACGAACAACAAGCATGGACCATCGACTCGGATCATCGGCTCTGTGGAAGACAAAGACGTCGAAACGTTAGCCGAAAGTAAATAAATATCATTATCAACATCGTGTAAGCTCATCAAAGAAAGAATACATATTGATTAGTTCTTCGTATTTTTGTTGAGCAAACGAGAGGTGTTATTATTCTTTATTCACGAATAAGCTGACGTTTCAGCGGATTTCGCCTTCCTCAGAGCCTGGAAAGGTCAAGTTGATAGCAATCTACTCGGCCAGACGCCTCCATAACGAAACAGAGAAACTCCAAACCAAGATTTCAATCACATTGAACACAGCTCTGCACACTCACCGCTTTCTATGAGGTTTCCACTAAGTATGATGTCACGTAGAGACCAACCGCACAGAAATCACATGGAAGCATAATGTGCCCCTCCCATCAGAATAGCAGTCTTATATACTGCCCTATATAACGCGTGATAATGAGGCATTCTTTCCTGAGATTCATTCTCGGATTTCTGGAATTAATCCAGAACGCCTCGAGAGTTTTGTGCGTTTGTGTTCTCGATTCCTGTGCGAGGATCGTGACACGTACTTCAAAGCTTTCCGCGTTATGTCTCTGGGTCCTATGCGTGCCTAGCGAGGTATTTGGTTTAAGTTTGCCGGCTAGGTGCTCCTTTATGCTAACACAGAGGGGTCTACCTGTTTCGCCAATGTATTCGTCACCGCACGTCTTACAGGAGATCAGATAAACTATACCCGAGCTCATGCAATCACCGTCTCTACCACTGGGGAAAATTATGCAATTTTGAGTTGCACATAGACGATCATATAAGCAGTTACGAACTAGCTGGCGCTTAAGATTACTTGGTGGTAATTATGCAATTCTATATAGGCGGTTACGAACTAGCTGGCGCCTAAGATTACTCGGTGGTATTTCAACTACGCTTACCGAATTCTCTAAACCCGCCCTTCTTAAGCAGCGTTTTATAGCTGTACTTATATCATTTGAGATGAAGGGTGGGATAAACGGGACCCTTCTATCGCTAGAGATGTTGTTTGGAGGCCTAGGATTTCCCCTACACCTATCCTGAGCTACAGCTTCGTAGCCACTAGAAATGGCTGTTTGCCGTGCCAAGTTCCGGGACTCCTCTCCCTGCTCTCACCCCGTGCACACGTTGGTTGCTTTTCGAAAGGTGTTTCTTATAAGCGCCCTTTTTGTGTGTGAAGGGTGAGAGGAGAGGTAATGAACCAAGATGTTTTTACTACTTGGCTTTCGGTACCACTTTGTAATGTTGCCATTTTCTGATAGGTGAATTTGTACATTCAAAAATGGAAGCCATTTTTCTNCCTTTTCGTGTGAGAGGGGTGAGAGGAGAGGTAATGAACCAAGATGTTTTTACTACTTGGCTTTCGGTACCACTTTGTAATGTAGCCATTTTCTGACAGGTGAATTTGTACGTTCAGGAATGGAAGCCATTTTTCTTTCAGCTTTTCTCGGGTGAACTTGATATACTCTGACTGTGTGTTTAACAATTCGAAGCATTTGTCCATTTCCTCTTGTGTTGAGCAAAGGACAAAGCAGTCGTCTACATACCTACAGGAGAGTAGCGGCCCGAGATCAGTCACCGGTGCTTCCACCTTAAACATAAATGCAATGGCAAGGCTTAAAGCCAGTCGTTGTCCCATTGCCAACCCTCTTATTTGAGCGTAGTACTTTCCAGACCATCTGAAGATTGAGCAGCTCAAGCATTCTTTTAAGAGTGCCATCAACTGCTCTATCTTGAAGCCATACATATTTATTTCTCCTTCGTGTTGTGTAAGGAGTTCGAATATGGCTTGCATTGCGGAGTCATTCGACACGTTTGTATAAAGGGCGGTAACGTCGAAGGACTCCATCACGCACGCGCTGTTGGGCTGCGCAGTACGTAGACGATCCAGAAACATCTGGGTATTCGTAAGATGGGCTGGAATGTGTTCCAACAACTGGTTAAATATTAGGGTTAAAACCATGTTATCCTGTCCGTTGGCCCGTCTACACAGCTAATGATAGGTCTAACCTTAAATAATGATGGATCGGTAGACGCAAGATCATCGCTGGATACTAACTTATGAGTTTTTATAAGTACAAGACGGGGCATGTTGGTATGTCAACTTTAAGTTGAGATAACTGATGGTTTTTAAACCAGCAGCTCTTGCCATTTTGGCCCATTCGTGGTTCAATTTTCGGTATTTTCTTTTAAATTCCTTCTCAGATGATGGGCGATAAATCGAAGCATCTTCAAGATGCTTTTTCGTTATCTCCATATCTAGCTGATGAGGAATCACGACAAACTCTCCACCCTTATCACTAACAGATAGTCTTATGGTTTTCAACCTTATCAGCTCTCGTACCTCTCGCATACCACGTTTTGCACTAGAGTGAGGTTTGAGCTGTATCTTTTCGCGCAATAGTGATTAAGGAGTGTGAGAGTTTCATTCGCAAACTTCCGAAAATTAACATCAACTTCATTATTGGGCTCTTGTTGTCTAAAGAACGTAGGGGGAAATGGTGCTATTGGTAGGCCCCCACTTGGTGTTGTTCGCACCTATTTAGCGCTTCATCTCTAGCTTTTTTGCGGAGTCTATCTTGAAGTTCATGTAAACCACATGCGACCGTACGCAAGGTTATCTTAGAAATGGGTTCAGATGGTGAGAAACTCGGCCCCAATTCTAATAACGAGCGCGCACCGTCAGGGAGAGTCATGCCTCCTAACACGGTTAACCTTGAATTTTCTTGCACATTACCAATCCTATTGTGATCTGTTTGATGTTCCTTAACGATATTTTTGTGCGCTATTGATTAATGATACCGAGGTTCAAGGAAAGTCGGTTTCGAAATAATCCTCCCAACGGTTTAGCGCCTCATCGTGGATGGAAGGTGTTCTTGGGTGTCGAGCTGCGATGTACAGCGGGGGATTCATTCCGTGGCAGGGTCTCCCAATCTGAAAAGTCTCGCGCTTCCATCACGAAGCCTAGCTAAGAGTAAACCAATACCAGGATCCGCCAACGCCCTGGTATCAAAGTCACATGGTGGCAAATCCCCCTCTGATCCACAAGGGCTGCGCCTACGTGTCGTGGTGACGACCCAACCCAGAGTAGACTTTGGCCAGGCTGTCCTCAGCATTCCAGGGAACCACGATGGTTTAAGCAGCAAATCTCCGAAAAATGATGATTATGCTGAGGCTCGCACAATTAGTGAGGACAGGCCGTTCAAGTGTCATGTGTCAAGTTGTAACAATTTAACAGAAGATGTTAATTTTTAGAAATGGGTTGTTTATGTATGAGCCGTTTGAACAGCACTTCTGACAAGAAACCATCATAAAATAAAATAAAAGGATAAAGTTCTCGGCGTTGTTCAACCCCTGAGGGACGGGCCATGTATTCGACTTCATTATGCATCGTTTGGAGGTGATTGAATTCATATCTGGCCATTATAATAACCGGCGATGGCAGACAAGTGTGGTACTAGTTTGATGACTCCGAAAGGATTGAAGGCTTGGTGGACCATAGGCACGTGGTACGATTCTACTTGTTTGTTGCAGGGCGCCTCCGACCACTGCACCACACGCAGACACCATATCAACCTCAAAAGTCTCTCAGAGAACACGTGAGTCATCTCAATCACTCTAGCAAACTGTCTCTTGGTATTTCAAGTACTGCCTCTCATTTAACAAGATTAACATCTTATTTTGCTGATGAGCTTGCAGTAATTTGTTAGAAATATCTATTTGTTGCCAACGTTTCGAGGCGATTAGCCTCATTAAAGCTGCAATTAACCCGAGAGCCACATCAAATCGAGTCAGGAAACGTGCGATCTTCCTCTTGACTCAACTCGATGTGGCTGCGAAGAGCAACATGGCAAAAGTTAACTTTTGTGGACACTGCACTCGCATTTTGAAGGTCGTGACACTAAAAGGTCGGCCAGAAACTAAGATTTATAAGCTTCCTTGTGTAAGCTTACCAAAAGACCTAATATGATAATATTGACGACGATCAATAGATTCGTATTCATGGCACACTTCTAAAGAAATAAACAATTTCAAGTGTTCTTATGCCTCTATCGCCTTTGAATAGAAACAGGCGCACACGAGTGTGAAATTGCAGTGTGAAACAAAGGAATTTTTCTGTTTGTGGATTAATAAGATGCAAATTCGGTTGAGCATAAATCACCCTCGGAAACCGCCTTTTCCTTGGAGGAAACTGAGTCGCAAGGTGTAAATCAAGTTCCAATGCAGCAAACGGACGCTGACTGTGGCAAGAACTTGGAAACACCTTGGAAACGCTACCTCAGAGGTAAGGAAAACGAAAGTTTCCCAACCAACAAAGTATAAATTTTGTGGAAACTACCCCGCACCTACGTTGATTATGATGAGAAGGAATGAAAGTATTCAGAGTATATAATGAAGTGGTGAAATATGAAGACATTTTAGTAGTGGTCAACGACTAACATTACCAATTTTCAGACTACAGAGGTAAACTTATCATGCATTGGTTAAACACAACAACTGCTAGCTGATTTCGAACATATTCAAAGCGGATATAGAGCAGAAATTTTTGAGATCAACACCGTTAATCACCCAAGGTATATGCCATAGATGTGTTGAAATATAGGCTGCATCGAAAGTCTACAGAAGCATTAGATGCGCTTAGGTACATATTGCTATAACCTCGAGAACATATATCTGTGCATGCCGGGCAAGAACATGCTGAGAATTGTCTGTTTAAACATCTCAGAATGATAGTATTAGGAATCAACCTTTATACCTCGCTCCTATTGAAGTGGAGGTGAAGTAGGAAGACAGATAGGAGTGGACATACACCAAAAGGGAACCCATTTCATGAAAAATTCATGAAGCGAAGATAGACTGATTGAAACGGATTGCTCTGTGATCAAAGGGAACAGAGCGTACGTGTAGCTAGGTCGTTCAAAGAAGTTGAACAACGAAGTGAAAGAAGGATTGTGCATGAGAAAGTGAGCAACATGGACTGCAGTGGCTTACAAGGAAGAAGACACCCGACAACTGAGGATACCAAAACCATGTGCTCACCTTCTTCCCTGGGACTCCCTAGCACTCTACTATGCAAGTGAGACGTAGTGGGAGTTTATACCTCAACTACTTTAAAAATCTTGAGCACGATGAATGGTCCAGAAATGTTATCTGAAATGCAACCGTCACGAACAACATTGAGCTAGATTTTGCAGTTCAGACAAACGACAGCTTCAACAAACATCCACTGCTAAACAAAGATAGGCCGATGGTGTAAAAACAATGGTTAAAGACAGATAAACGAAAAGTGGATTACACAAGTACACGAATGATCTCTGGTGGGATCACGTTCAAGATATGATAATGAGAATGTGGAGCATTTTAACCAGCCGTGCTAGAAATTGCGTGAATGACATAACCACCGCCTTCTACAGAGATCGCAACGAAAAGAAAATGTTCATGGAATATGTTTTTGTGTATAAATGTACCATATAGACCACAAATGGATAAAATTATGCCACAACCTTTTCGATTCGAATGGACCTTGAGAATCGAGGTCGATTTCGCTTCGGACTAACCGAGCTTTTATCACTTCTGGAGTTGGATTCCAGAGATCTCCCTTTGCACCCTACAAATGAAATAGTTATAAATGATTATTCAAGCACCAATATTGTAGTAAATCCCATTATCAACTTTCCACTAACTTCTGCATTGATCTGTAATTTACTGTTTTCTCAATGAGCACACCTGATATTGTTATTACACTATTTATTAACAATAGCCGACATTTTGGCTGTTTCGCTCTCATCAGAACCAGGAAAGCTACAGCTGACAAGCAATTTACTCAGCCAAACACGTTCATAACCTCAGCAGACAAAACTTAACACATAAACCTTCATTCGCATAATAGACAGCCTCTTTCAAACATTGAACGCTTTATTCTCTACAATTCTTCGAGTTATTAGATTTAGAACAGCTGCAAAGAGTCTTATGGCGCTAGGTCACAACTGATCACAAGGCACTCCTTTTTGCTATCCATTTTTGGAGTTTGACCAAAATAGCTCGAGGGCTCTACGCGCAGATGTTTCAGATTCCTGTAAGAAGGATAATTAGTTTTGCTTCAAAATCTTCTCCGTTATATACCTCTGTGTCCTATTCGTGAATAGAGGACCATTTTGTTTTACGTTACGTTTTACAATCTGTAGAAGGGATGATACATCAACTGGGAATAAGACATACAGTGAACTCATTTTTGAATTCACCTTCTCCTTACGAAACTGAAGTAGTATTCACTGGTATGCGCTTTAAGCCGTACCCGGCATCTAAGAGCGAGTTCAGTAGCCTAGGAGTCAACTGTTTCGAGATCCCGCACACAAGTCCAAAAATGAGGTATTCCTCTAAGGCACCGAGGCACCGACATTGCGCTCATATTCCGAACAGAAGCTGTACTCGTTGTCTGGCCACTATTCCACCGCAGCTATATCGGCGACTGTTTTGTCATCTCGCTCAGTACTACAGAAGATGGACAAATGTTTTGAATTTCTAAACGAATAGTTAGAATACATAAATTTTGAGAGAAAAAAAACCAAAAGAAAACTGTCTTCAGTTTTCTGACGTAAAACTATCCTATCCAATAAGGACTACATAACCAAATGGTACCGAAGGCAGGTAACAAAGATATAAAAAAAGCAAAAGCTATCGGCGTCGATCAATCCCTGAGGGATGCGCCATGCATTCGAGTTTATTAAGCATTGTTGGAGGTGATTGAATGCATATCTAGCCTCTATAATGACTCGCGGTGGACAACCAATGTATCGAGCCAGTGCTGCTCTCCTACCAGACAAGTCTGGCACTAATTTGCCAACTCCGGAGGAGTGAAAGGCTTGGTAGGCCATAGGCGCAAGGATCGATGCCATGTGTGTTGCAGGGCGCCACACGCGCCCTAACAAAAATATATTGGTTCACAACCTCTCCTCTTATTCATCACACAAAAAAGGCGCCTGTGAGAAGAACGTTCCAAACAGCCACTAGTGAGTATACAGGAAAGTAAGAAAAGAAGAAATTCCTAAACTTGGCGAGTAGACATTTTCAGTGGGTGCGAAACGGCGCTTTTCGATACACGAAATAACAGCAGTTATAAAACATTAAAAATGGCTGGTTTTGAGGATTAAGTATCGGTGATTGAACTGCCAGCGAACAACCATAATGATGCTGTAATATCGGCAAAACTTGGACCGCAGGCCAGATTGGAACCGGAATTTCGGAGCTAACCTGCGTCCAAGTTATGCAAATTTTCCAGCATCGTTGTGGTTGTATTTAACACAATACCCTGTCGCAAAAAAAACTTGCCGTCGAGAAAAAGTAAAACACTGATTTACTAACCAATACTCTACATTGTCATTAAGTCGTAACCACTTCTATGATCTTCTACGTACAGCGCAAAACTGCATAATTTGCCCTAACGGTAGAGATGGCGACTGCAGGAGTTCGTGTAGGACGCACCCGAATTCTCACAAAGCATGCTTAGACCAGTAGATTGGCAAACCGGATGGATCACTCCATGTTTGCATAAAAGGACACCTAGTTGGGAAACATAAAGTCAAACAGAACACTCCACTAGGCATGCATAGGATATGAAAGCATAAAGGAGAAGATTTCCAAGTGGAAGACGCTATCCTCGCACAGGAATCCAGAACATCGGTGCGTAAAACCCTTGAAGGGTTTTGAACAAGTTCCGCGGATCCAAAAACGAACCGCAAATAGGAGTGGCTTGTGATCACGTGTTACCGCATGCCATATCTAAGGCTAATTTCTTGAGCTGAACCATGCACATTCCTCACCCATACAATCCTTAGTTACTTGCTTACTTACTCCTTTCTTACTATTCTTGTTTGCTAACATACTTTCAAGGCTGGCCTACACTAAATAACTGGGAGGTTTACAAGAAACTAAACGGTGAGTGTTTAAAAGAAACTGTGAACTGAACGAAGTTTTTGTACTGGACTTTCTTCTACTTGGCTTATGAAGGTGTTTGGCTAAGTGGATTGCGTGTCATTTGACTTTTCCAGGCTCTTAAGAAGGCGAAACACCCTAGATTTCAGTTACTATTGAATAAATCTTGTGATTAACTATGTGTTTGTTCAAGAAGAGAACAGCAAATAATTGACCAAGAGTACAATTCAAAACTGGCAATAATACAACATGCCTCGTTCTTCAACAATGAATGAAATGCAACTAAAAATTAGAAAACTAGTGTAATGAAATTAAGAAAAAGGAAGGAAAGACAGAGTGAAGGACAAAATAACAAGAAGAAGAAGGAGAAGGAGGAACAAGAAGGAAAAAGAATAAAGCTCACTGAGCGAACATCCTTGATTTTCGTTTGCCCGTCCCAAAATCCTTCAATTTCCGCCAAAGTCTCATGTCCTAGTTTTACAGCCCCCGTAATCTGAACAGCATTCGTATTCTATAAATAGGCTTACAAACTGAGCACTTTATTCATTTGTGCAATATGAAAAATACATAAGAACAACAGCTTCTTAACGCCAAACCTTATTCATTGACCCTCCAAACATTGGTTTCAACAGAAAATTTAGGACTGCGGTATATCCAGTTTTTTCACATTCAATGGAGACCTGAAATACAGTCATTAAAATACAATACCTGGTACAAGTTTTGACAGTGAGCAGAAATTCATCCAACAAAAAAACCTTTCAATGAAGCACCAACACTATCGAGATGAAACTTCTTGGTCAGCAGACAGTATGTTGATTTTGTCATTGTTCTCACCACATAATCGGGGTATTTTTTTGTGTATTAGAACGATCCTCCCAACGGTTTACCGCCTCATCGTGGCTGGGAGGTGTTTCTGGGTGTCGGACTGCGATATAGAGAGGTGGATTCACTCCGTGGCAGGGTCACCCAAGCTGAGGAGTCCGGCGTTTCCATCAGGAAGCCTAGCTAGGAGCAAACCAATACCAGGATCCTCCACCGTCCTGGAATCAAAGCCGCATGGTGGTAGATCTCCCTCTGATCCACAAGCGCTGGGACTGCCTGTCGTGGTGACGACCTGGGGCAGATTTTGGCCGGGCTGTACTCGGGATTCCAGGAGACCACAATAGCTTAACCAGCAAGTCTCCGAAAAATGGAGATTGTGCTAGGGCCCGCACGATTAGTGATGACGAGCCGTTCAAGTATCAAGTAAGTATTAGAACGATAGTCTTCAATAATTTGGTGATAAAATATGGTTGACCAGTAAGACTAGTGCATTGGAAAACTGCATACGTGGTTTCATCATGGTAATAAATTTTGTATGGTTCTTAATTGTTCTTAGTGTCCTCTTCGTCTTCATTATGTTCCTGCGATGCACTTGGTTCTTAGCTCGATCCCGCGCCCCGGATTGCTAGAATGCACCTTTATGGTGCTGAATGGAGTCGAATATAATTCGCCCTATGTTCTAACTCTTATACTTAGTGCTTTTTTGTTGTTATAAGAATTCCAAACTAAAAGTTTGGTTACCTGTCCACCCAGCTCCATTGTCATCGTACCTATCATGATTCCTTTACAACTGGCGTACGGCAATGTCACTACATATTTCTCACCTCGGTCGAGGAGAGCAATCCTGAAAAAAGTTCATGTACCAGATCGTGAGTGAGCATCACACTCTAGAAACAACTCAGGAGAAGTCAAAAAGATGACAGAAGTATCATGTTGCGAAGAAATATGAACATACATAAGTGTTCCATTCATAATAGCACTCAAGCTGTTTCCGTAATACTTGCTTTTAGCGAGAATCGTTCCGGCGACATTGAATCCGGCTTTGCGATTAGTGACAAAGAGCGATGAGATTGGAGGATGATGAGATACCTGAAGTAGCTTTGTCTTGTATATCTTTTACAAAGGATAGAAATGCACCCTTGTCAGATACACATACAGTAAACACTTATTGGTATTAACTTGGTGTAAGCACCAAACAAATAATGCTATACTATTGGTTACTTGGTTTCATTTCCGTAGTAGGAACGTCTGGAAGAGAACAAAGGTGAAAATCTCAAGTTACAAACAACCGATATATTCTAGTATAAATAAGGAACAGTCAAAAAGAATTTATCACTATAGAAATAATGGCATTCGTCAAAATGTTACATGTAAACTCCTAGTACGGTTAAAGAGGGTCAAAACGGGTATACCAACAAAGTCGTAGAGATGATTCACCTGTTCTGCAATATAATATGTATAGGATCCATCAGGATGTGTCCAGCGACATCTGAATGTTTCTCCGAGAATCGGATTATAAGGCTTCTTCAGACCTTTCGGTTTCTTGTAGAAGCCAGAGAGATAGAATTTAACGATTTTCACTATCCGATTGTAAGGATCAGGTTCAGCTGACGCCCTGTAGTGAGAAAAGCATTCGAAAGAACCATTTTAAATGCTATGGTATTTCGAGCAAAACTTAGAGATATGTACTCGAAATTTCCAATCACTGAGTTGAGCCAAAAATTGGTTTCGTTACGATGGCTAGGTGGGGTCGTATAGCAAATCCAAACTGCTAACTTGAAGCACTTAGAATCTATACATTACAACTAGAATATAAAAGGCAACACCGTGACCAACTCTACTTTTCTACATCACATAATAATCTCAAAAAATAGGGAAACACAACAAGATCCCACGTCTGGTACTACTCGCAGTATTACATCGTATGAAATTGTCTTAAATAAGAGATCACAGTTCTTCTTAATCAATAATGAGGCCACATTTCAAAAACAGCACCTATGAACTAAGAACCGGTGGACAAAAATGTTTGCCAAATTCTAAACGTCGTAATTTTATTCAGAACACAATATTAATACTCAAAATAGGAGCCATTAGAATTTACAAGTTTTATGCAACAAATTTGCAACAATTTCAAGTTCTGGAAGTCACAAATTCTCCAAAGAAATTTTCAGCAGCATCCTGGTGGTTGAAGACTACACTTGGAAATAGCCGTACGTGAGCTAGAGAAAATCGTATGCACTTTTTGAGAGGTATAGTGAGTATGGCACAAGAGGTAGCAATTCGTAGAACAGCTCGTAGAAGTTCTGATGCATTGACTGGGCTGCATGTGGCAGCATGGAAGACCTATCCATTCAATTCATATGATAATCATTCACTCCTTGATGTTTCCATTGTTCCAAATAATGAATGCCTTTTAAACGACATAGCTTGTTCTGTAACCTTTCGAATGATGTTAGAAGGATCAGCTACGATATTGGCCTTCAAGTAGCCGTTGTCAATTGCTGATAAGTGTCCACGACGTTATTCGTGAAGAGGAATTACGTCGCCGGTATGAAATATCTCAAACCATCTGGTGTTCGGGAATGGTTCACTAGTACCATGCTTTGATAACATGAAGTAGATCGCTACGAAGTCGTTGCCACGAAAAGATCAACTTAATCAACTTATGATCCCAGTTTGAGCGTTGAAACAGCGACCGACTGTAGACTAATAACAGGAAATACGCTTTAAAACGTCATGGACCAACAGTGTAGTCAATAAGCTACATAGCGGATGACGACTCAACTAATGGAACTAATTTTGTAAGAATTTGTTAATTTTCGCAGCAATATAATATTATTTTAAAATAATCTGTGAACCACTTACTCTGAAAGCAAATCTGCGTGATAGTAATAATCCGCAAGTTTTTCCAAAAACGACCGAGGTTCCAGAATAAAAGTCGGTAAAATAACCTGAATTAACGACGAGCAAGAAATAGTACAAGAATAGGAGAATGTTGCCCTCGAATCAAAAATCTCCTAATAAAGTTGAACAGTGTAGGTGCGTGGAAGTATGTATATATGTATATACACATGTAAGTATACTTGTGTATACGTACTCGTTTTTTCTGAAAGCTTTAATGCACTCTTTAGCAATAGCCTATAGCGTAGTGTTGTGAAGCGCAGCAAAATATGACGACTGCATTAAGAACCGGCTAGATAAGGCATGGAACTTAGCTAGGTCACTACTTTTCTGTTTTCTGCACTTCTGTTAGTAATTCCTTCACCATAACTAGTAACTTTGTTTCGATGTTGGGCTGAAAGTGTATTATATAGGACCAAGCTGTAAGTTAGATGATGGGTTATATCTTCGCCACGGAAAAACAAGGACAAAAGACATTAAATTATCTTCTTAGTTATGAATATTTAACTACTGCATTTATTTAGAAAGTCTTACGGTGATAAAACTCTCTTATTCTGTGAGAAAAATACATATACAGTTAGGCGAGAGGATTATAAGAAAATGACGATGTACGCCAATTCTACCAAGCTTCAATGACAGCGAAAATGAACGTAACTTGATAATGAAAGCATTTTATTAAAAGTGAGTGGGCCATACCAAAATGGTAACCACTGCATCTGACCTTAGATAAATCCATTCCAGGACGTATTTGTCTGAGAAGCGTCCAAATCAGTGACTTGTTCTCATCGCCGACTTCTTCCGTTTGGCTGTTTTCCAATGTATTGTTAAACTTAACAGAAACAAATGAGAAAATCATCTGCTTAAAATATATATGCAAATAGAAAAGATAGCAGACTATAGCAAGATGACATAACAATAATATAAAAATAGCAAAATACAGCAGAAAACACGTACACATTTCTATACAAAAAAGATAAAGCTCTCTGCGTTGATCTATCCCTAAGGGATGTGTCATGCATTCGACTTCATTAGGCATCGTTTGGAGTTGATTGAATGCATATCTGGCCTCTACAATGACTCGCGGCGACCTACCGATGTGTCGAGCTAGTGTTGCTGCTTCCAGGCAAGTCTAGCACCAATTTGCCGATCCAGGAGAGATGGAAGGCTTGGTGGACCTGGAGCGCGGGAATCGATCCCATGTGTATTGCAGGGCGCCTCCGACCACTGCGCCACAGACACCCTATGTTTCTACATATGCAAATACAAATGTATATGTATATATATATACATGCATATACATATGTATATATACACTGCATAACAAACAGTATCAACAATAATAAATATGATAAAGCATGTATACAAACCACAAACCACTTCTGGCTCGCTTTCCGTCCAAGGGCTCTCCTTTATCTCACCAAAGTCGCTTGCGTCTGTGAAAACAACCTCTTCAGGCTCGGCATCTTGCTCGTCCAACACTAAAATTCCATTTTTTAAATAACAAACGTCGTAAAATTGTTATTTCTTAACCTAGAATCAATAGAACCTTGTGATGGTCGACCAACTGAAAAGGCAACACAGATTGCAAAATTTTAGAAAACCAGATCATTTTTGCTGATTTTCGAAAGACCATCTCACTTTCGTTTAAAAATAAACTCGCTAAAATATTTATTTTTAACAGTAGGCCACTAAAGTCTCCACGATGTCATCATGACGCGTCTGCTTTTACTTATATTCTTCGCAATGTGTCGTCCTACGAAGAGAATTGGTAGCGAAGCTGGCTTCCAACGTTGTAAACAGTTTTGTCGACGACGGTGGTGACGAAATCCAGCAATGACTCTACTCAGTGCACATAAGGTTGCTCGAGGTCGTTTCGCCTGTCACGATGATTCGACTTTAGTCTGATCACATTTTCTCATACCGATCGCTAAATCAAATTCGAATTCATACGATATGGTGTGTACACTTTTGCACTTTTTGACACAGTTCGTCTGCTCAACATGGAACACTTGAATCCGGTTGTTTTGACATTGACGATAATTTCGAGATTAGCAGAGGAATTGGAGAGTTGGAGACTTTGAAGAATTGTAGAAAAGACCCTGGTCTAAGGTCTTAATCGTGAATTCATTCTTCATTGTAGAAAATCCTTTCAATTTCGAATATTCTTAAAGATGAAGTTTTCGAAAAATCGAAACGAAGATGAAATTGAAAGATTTCCAACACAACCGTGATAGCCGCGTATACCAATGATACATTGGGAGTACCATCTATACTTCGGACAAAATTCCGCTTGCTCAGCCGTTTTCTTATTCGCAAAGTGAGCGTCAACGAAGAGAACACTCAAAGAAGCATGTTTTATGAGCCCCAAAAAATTAGGAATTCCTCTATTTCCTCTCAGTAGAATAGTAGAACTTACATTTGATGGACAGGGATCTCTCAATTATTATGCGCTACTATTTCAATTGCTAAAACTCAACAGGTTTAGCTTAAAACTAAAAGTGAGCACTGTTTTCCCTTGAAATGTATTGTACAGAAAGCATGTCGGGAAATGTGCATTCATTTATATGACCAAACAATTTCGCTTCGCATGTAATCTTTTATAATTGTCCTTTTCATCTTCACAAACCCATCACTTCCTTTTGCGTCCCTAAGCAACTACACCCTTAATTATGAAGTATTTCATGGATTAAGTTGATAATATTTTCTAAAATACATTTTCATCGATTTTCGGACAACATGAGAAAAAGTGGGTTTTGCTTGGCGAATTCACCGTATTGATCTGCCGCTACGAATGAACAAGAGTCCATATATATTTACTTGAACAAAAGCATTCGTTTCCTAAAAGGCGGTCTTCCATAGATAAACAACGATAACTGAACTGAAGACAAATAGCCGAATATTGCAAAGACTCAATATATTTCATAGAATAAATTGCTCGTTATAAAATTAAAGCACTCTGAAAGCTCGTATTACTTAACGTTGATCTAACCTACACGTATCGCTCGTGTAGAAAAATTTTATAAACGTTTTTGCTTCAATTTATTGTACTAGTCCTACAGCTTATTGGCTTGCCGAGACAGAACCGTCATGTTGAGCAAATGGTCATCTCCAGGCTGGTAGCGAATAAGTCGCATTGCTGCGAAAGTCGTTTTTGAGAAGAATTCTATATCAAGAAATCTACGTCATTGACTTTCGCTAGAAAAAACATATTCGAAAACTAACACAGGCACTGATGGCCTAAGGCGATGATCAAACAAAAACTTCCTATGGCTACTTCAGCGTTTGAGGAAAAAAAGGGCCTCAATGAGTAAATAATGGGGCAACTCACAGTGTGAACCATGATTTCATTAAAAATTGTCAATAATACAAGGGTAGAAATCGGTGATTTCCACTTTGCAAAACACATTGGCGAGTTCTCCAAAATTCTTCATAACAACTAACGAGTTCTTCGATCGAATTCGGACTGAGATCCTCATCTTTTGTAAATTTATTTTCACTAATGCAATAGTGTCATCATTAGTACGCATTGTCTCCACTTCACAGTTCCTTTCACAGTTTATTTTGTTTTCAAGAGGACGGAAACTCGAAAATTGGTCCATCTGAGCACACAGACCAGTGAAAGTGCTTGCACCTTTCAAAGAAATTAATGCGGTCTGTCATAGATGCTGTATGACTGAATAAAAGATAATTAAAAACTGTAGTTATGATATCGATATTGAGTGTTGAAGAAAAGAGATAACATCACATGACCCTCACCCTGATAACGTCGCGTGACCAACGAACGATTTTTGCTGAAAACTGAAAGGTTTAAATTCTAAAGATCACCCGCAAAGTGCTTCTCGGCCTCTGTCTCGGAGTAGGATTTTATCTCTGGCTCGTAAGGAATATCAGCTTCACCGTCACTGTCATTTTCCTTAGCCGTTCCACTACCGGCACCAATGCTTGCCTCATCTTCTGCTGGTTTGTTCACGTCTAACTAAATCCTTACATTTAATAATATTTTTGTTAACCTTTAAACGAAAACGTGGATACCTTTTTCATTGTTCGTAGTAATAAAGACGAACAGCTCAACGACAATTCCAATGCATCCATCCAACAACGACCAGCCTAAATAAAGCAACATCAGAGTAATACCTCCTTATTTCTTATGTTAACAATTCGTGAGCCACTATTTAATTACTAGGATACAAGACAGGTAAAAGGAGGCACTTTTCGATGTGTGCTGTCGTCCCAATAGCTTTTTCACCCGCACGGGATAGTTGCAACAAAACGAAATGAAAGGAAGAACTGCTGGAGTCTCTAAAACATCCTACTATGCACCTAAGTAGTTAACTACAAATAAATAACGAGAATCATAAAGCTTCTATAAGCAGACTTATATAAGGGCTATGAAAACATATCTGTCGTGTGAAACATCATGTTAGTACATAGCTGGACTAACAAAAATGTACCCGTTCTGATTTGTGAGGTTCAAGTCATCATAAAGGATAAGAAGGATAAAACTCTCGGCGTTAATCAAGAATGCATATCTGGCCTTTATAATGACTCGAGGTGGTGTACCGATGTATCGAGGTAGTGCTGCTATCCTCCTAGGCAAGTCTGGTACCAATCTGCCGACTTCGGAGAGATGGAGGGCTTGGTGGGCCTTAGGCGGGGATCGATCCCAAGCGTATTGCTGGGTGCCTCAGATCACTGCGCCGCATGCGCCCTTGAAGGCGTCATACCTTTCCTAATAGAACTTCGAATGCAAAACTAGTAATACTTAACGAGCAAAATGTAGGAGGAAATGGGAACGATAAAATGAACGAGCAGTGTCATTACAACGATAGCACGTTGACAATATTATGTGTATTATACTAACATAATGATGTTACAACCTAAGCGAATAAAAACTATGAAAGCGTAGACTACGGCATTAAACACCGGAAAGTAAGCAAAGCCTATGGACTGCCGACAGTGCAGAAAGAAATCGTTCGACAACTAGACACGTTGTAGGTGTTCCAGTAATCATTGTGAACTCATGAAGTAATTGCTGTAATAATATCTTGTGATATTTCTAACCACCATCTGAATAGGCACACAAGAACTTGCAAAAGAAAAGGAAAAATCCAAGAAAGATTAAGGAATAGAAACCATGAATAATGGTAAATGCTGGGGTTTCTAAACAGGAATATCAACATCGTCTCATAGGCAGAGAAACGGAACCACATATCACAGTTCCGACATAGATTTTGCACTATAGGAAAATGTAAAAGTACGTGTAAGAAAAAGAAGATAAAGATGGCCTATCATTATTAAAGAATGGGCTAAATTGTTTTCAATGGCACTATTTTCTCTTTATCACAACAAGTTTCACATAAAATAATTCTCTCATACGATGTAATGTAGATATTCTCCAAAATTCAACATACTGTACAGCGACACTTATCGGAGTACTTGGACGGGCCGCCCTCACTGGTTGTGCAGGCCTCAGCATATTCTCCATTTTTCGGAGTTTTGCTGGTTTAACCATTGTTTCCTTGGAGTCCTGAGGTCAGCCTGGCCAAAGTCTGCCCCAGGTCGTCACCACCACAGGCAGTCGCCACCCTTGTGGACCAAGGGAAGATTTCCACCACGCGACTAGTTTGATACCAGGACGGTGGTGCACCGTGGTATTGATGTATTCTCAGCTAGAAACTCTAATGGAAACCAGGGGCTTTTTCTCAGCTTGGGAGACCTTGCCGAGAAGACGAATGCCTCCGCTGTACATCGCAGCCCGACACATAGAAACAACTCCCAGCCGCGGTGAGGCGATAAACCGTTAGGAAGTATAACGATAAATATAAACAAGTAGAGGTAATGATTGTAGCACCTGTTCGTCCGTAGCACGGCATATTAGATGTGCAGCCGGAAGTGGTTGAAATGTAACAGCACCATGCGATTCTCCAAGTGGACCTCTTGTTGCCCAAATACTCTGATCAAGTGGCTAAATAATTCAGTACCAGCATTGACGATTGACAGAATATTCAAAATATGCCGCTTTATGACCAATAACCTAAGTAAACAGATTGAACGAACTAGAACTGTTAGGCTATCACATAGCAATGTCCTATCTTGAAATACGGAGAGTTGCTGTTTTTCAATCATTTCGAGTATATTTAAGTTAACTTCATCCTTAATGGAGAAATTCGTAGGAAAAAAACACTTTCGCATGAAAAAATAGCAGATAGCTTGTGGAGTGAAGTTGATTTGCAATATTTTTTTCAGTGTCGAATAATTCTAACACTCCAAACAATGAGATCTAGCGATCCATGATCCTCAGCTAGTTGGTTGATGATTTGCTCAACACGAACAATGAAAAACTATTCGTATTCATTCGGGCACTCATTCTTATCACTCACTTGATAGAGTTTGAAACAAAACCCGTCTTTTTTTGATGGACGCTCTATAAGTTCACATGTACTGAGAAGCACCGTCCCTACCCAATGGCCGTGCTGAAATGAATTACATGAAGTATCATTGAAGAGGAAGAATTGATAAGAACTATGTATGAACTGACAGAAATGAAGGAATAGAAAACAAAGTGCTTAAAAAGCAAAGTCTAAATTGTCTTCAAAAATAAACAAGAAATAACATTGAAAACCAATTTCTATACAACATACCTTATTGATTTTATTCGACTTGTATATTATAAGAAGTCCAGGTTTAAGCACGCAGAAAAATCGGCTCCACTTTCTGAAGTTACCTCGAACCTAAACTATTGTTTTATGTAGAAAAAAATTGTCATAAGTATACCCCATGCAGTTTAGTACAAAGTATACAAACAGCATTATGATTCCACTAACATAAGAACTTACTGCTAAGTTTTTATTTACTGCCTTTTTACAACTTTTCACGTCAGGGTTGTTTGTGAAACGACCACAATGATGCTGAGATATTTGCAAAACTCTGGAGTGCAGGTGTCTGCGGTGGGGGACGAACGAGACTTGTATATTATAAGAAGTCCAGGGGCTTTTCCCTTTTACGGGGCTAACGCGTTCACCCCCACACCATGTGGGTCTCTTACTTCGTCTGTCTCTCAGCTAGTTCTACCGATTACTGTCATCAGCAATCACTCGCTAACGGGATTGATCTGGGGAGTCCAAATCGGCATTAAACCCAGTTAAGCTGAGATTATAGTTTGAAATTCACAATGTTGAATTCGTTCCCCACCGCAGACACCTGCGGTCGGGAGTTTTGCAGATATCTCAGCATCACTGTGGTTGTTACTGCTGAATGTTGCTTTTAAACAGTAACAATGCATAATCATGTGATAGAATGTTCTACCAATGTTTGTAATTGCTTCCAAAAGCTTTCCATCACTAAATGGTTGCCTAAAAAACGCTCAACACCATTTCTGGCCAGTTCTACTGATGGATGGTATTTCCAAGGTTTTCGTTTTGCCATAGGTGCTGCATGACTTTGCAACGTGCGGTGTTTTTCGCGATTGGTCGCATGTTCATCCGACGTTCGAGGCGTTAAGTGTTTAGAACTGTGCTCAATTCCAGAAGAAGAAAAGCCAGTGCTGTATTTCGGTGCTCTTTCACTGTGCTGAATTCGAATTCCAATTAACGGCTCACTAACTTACTACATCACTTTAAGCAAAACGCGCCTTTTATCGTCGTTGTGTTGACTTCTCAAATGAATTATGGTGCATGTGTGTTATCTGGCATATCATATAGAAGAATATTAATAGTCCAATTTAGAGAGAACTACTTATGTGACTAGTAGGGATATTGCCGAAATCACCAAAACTAATCTATAGTTCAAGGAAATAGCCTTAGCTAATTCAATAATTCCAGCCTTCTATTTGAGTTCTATTCGTATTGAAATCTTCCTCTATGAACTGTACACTTCCTTGTGTTTTCCAACATCAGATACGTTGAAGAATAGTAACAGATGATATTGCATCTTACACACGAGTTGCGAAACAATCAAATATGACTTCACCGATAGTGGACGAAATGGACGTAAACACATGGACTGCAAAAGCAAAACCAGAAGACGATTAGACCGAACCACTTTTTTTTTAAATTATGGATGAGAACCGATTTGCTATACCCATTCTTAAGCGTTCGGTTTTCACGATTTCGCGAAATTCGCTACCTCTACAGGAATCGCTGTCGTCCTCAATGAACCCAGGATTTAAGGTAGCCTCAGATTAACAAAGTCTGAAAAGTGCATGTGGCGTCGACGTAATAAGACCATAGCATGTTTATCTCTGCTTTTGAGGTAAAATGACGTCCGAACAGCATTCAACATCTCAGTGAGTACAGAAATCTATAGATCCTCAGTCTGCAACAAAACCAACATTTGAAAGCCATCACACTGGTTTGTTTGTTTTTGACTAAATTGTTTACTCACGGAACCTACAATGAAGGAATCAGGAATCATCGGTTTCATTGGTAAGAAGTCTAACTTTTTTTAAATTTCAAAACAGAACTAAAAACACAATTTTTCATTGGCCACAATAGGGCTACAAGTCAACAAGAAGTACGACATATCAGAATGTTCTTGACTTTGTTTAGATAAGTAATCACGTACTTTGAGAAAATCGGCCATAACAACCACAGTCGGATCTCGGAGTGCCGAAATGAGCTGAGCAGCGACACGCTTTTTCTCATCTTTATATTCTTTTTTCTGTCTCTAAAAAAAATAACTCGTCTGTAGTAAATCAGCAGGTAAGCAGCCAATAAGGAAATTACTAAATAAGGTGGATTGAGTGGAAAACGAGGAAGGAGGAAATGAGGAAAAAAAGAGGACAAGAAACAAGTACAGAACTAAGGGATCTAGAAATGAGGCAAAACTCTGGAAAAGTAATAACAATCTTAAGGTAACCTCACAGACCAGTTACCGATGCAGAGTTCCAAATTGTTTTGTCAAGATCTCAAGGTTGAGATTAGTAAAAAGTAAAAGTGGTCTAACCAACATAGCATGGTTAAAGAAGTTCCCATTAATTGTTTACATGTTAGCCAACATGTGTTGCACATTATTATGGAAAACGCAGAGAGTTTCAACTCCCTCTTGATTTTCTATTGACGACCGACAGTTTTCTACAGTACATCTGAGCAACCATAACAAATGTTAGCATAATGATACAGTACAGTTCCTTTTCGATATCACTACATCTTCAAACGGCGTAGCATACTTGTTTTGGTGTACTTGTTTGTTTGTCTGGTGGTGTTTGTTATTAAAGGTTTGTTGCAGCTCTCCTTCGATGGATTGCTAATGGAAAAGATTATTGGAGAACCCAAGAGAATATAAACGTAACCGTATTATGAGATAATGAGTTCATAATTCGCACACATCCATTGGTGTGAGGGAAAAGCATCCACGAAATCGATTGCCGCGGACGGAACAGCAGAATGAGCGGCGACAACTGGTCGGAATGATCTCATTTCAATAGTACGAGAAACTCCGAAAAGTGTTAAACATCCAGAAGCAAATTAGTATGTATGAGGAAATCTTGATAAGAAAACCCTTAGATGGATATTCTTCCAGACAACTAACAATTTTACTTCGGCGGTTTTTGTGAGACAGAAGGATAGCTACGTTGGCTATCAACATTGGCTAGTATTTGTTGTTGACGTTTAAAGTGCCAGCAACAGCTAGTATGCTAGTTCTAAGTATGCACAAAGATGACCGACGGGTCCATACGCGTGTTTTGACAGTGCTCATGAAATTTTAGTCGTCGATCTTTGGTCACAGTCTCAGCTGATTCTACTACCCGATTAAGGCACCAAAAAGAATGTTCACATCAGAAACGATGGAATTTAAAAAGGAGTTTTGCTAGCTTACTACTTGGTTGTTTACTGTGTAAAAATTCGAAACGGCTGTAGCGTGCTAGCTCATCGTGAGTGTGACAACTTCATGAAATCAGAAAACTCTATTAGATGAATACAGCATCTAGTACTTAAATGTCTTGAAGACCATAAGCAGAGATTATCACTTCGTACAAACGATGTTATTTGTAGAAGACCAACATGCAATATAGTAGGCAGGCGGGGTTTCATCGGTTGGGTATCAGTGGCCAAACGGTTACGTTATCAATGTTTAATACTGGGGAGTAGGAAAAGGAAACCGCAGCGAAAATAATTGATGACGACGGATGAAAAATCACTCCGTATTTCCAAAAGAGAGAAAAGTGGGTGAGGAAATGACAACAAGACGGATTTTGAAATGGATGACGGAGGATCGACAAGCGAAACAGGTGCTCTGTCAAAATATTCGCTGGACGATTTATGCACACACTACCCAACATATAGTTCCGATCTCTTGAGAAAATAAGGCCAATCTGTGAGTGCTGATTCTTCCTCCAGATCTCGTTTGTTTCTAAAATAGAAACTAAAGTGTGAGGTAAACTGGGATTAAAGAACTGAACTTTAACCACGGATATGTTTCAAAATGGTTAAATTTGCTTCAGAGACGAAACGAAAGGTAGAGGACAGAAAAGGAAATAATGGTGTAAGAAAAATTGCTGTGCTAACTCGCCTTCAAGGTTTTTCTATTGAGAGCGTCGTCTTCCAGCGACATTGTGCAGCTGCTGCTTCGAAAGCCGACGGCTGCACCAGCGACGAGCGTGACGATGTACTCGTTCCGTCGCGCCGCGCCGGCGTACTGGCTCCACCCTCCGGCAGACTGTGCGCTCTGCGTCTCTCGTCGAGCCATCGAACATCCCTCGAGACTCCTCCGACTCGAGTGTCCAGATAAGAAACCGTTACCGGAAACTCGTTTAAGACAACGATTTTCGACTTGAAATCCTTAAAATATACAGGTCTAGGAAGACGACTACGTCCCTTCTCTCAGAAAACTCTCGAAAATTTCACAGTAGTGGAAAAATCCTGGAGTACATCCCCAATCTGGCCATCAGTAGTCTTCATTGGTGCATGTCGCACCACGGCGCTGCTTTTAGGCAAAGTAGGCGAAGTGCACTGTGTCCTATTCATTTGCTTTCCAGAGCTTTGTTTTGCTGTAGATAGAGCTTTAGATCATTTTTTGTACTCAACAGATAGCGCATATCTCCTCGAAGGGTGGAGGGGAACTCCTTGCTACTTCTCAGGTTTTTGGCCTAATTGACCTCTAGGGAGATTGTAAACTCTATAAACGAGAATACGGCCATATAAGCATGCGTGAACATATCTGTAAACACATAAGGTATATCCATCCCTTGGATCCAACTGCGTCTAACGGTGCCACAACGTCGCTTTTTCTAGCCCCGCTACAACAGTGCCTTCGTTTACTCTTTTTATGTCGTAGATCTAAATTTCTCAAAAACTAGTGACTAGTGCAAACAACCACAATAATGCTGAGATATTTGCAAAACCTAACTTTGACACCAGGCAAGATCAACCCACGATTATCCTTTCCGGGATCACGTGTTACCCAGTGCATCGATGTGGTCCTTGCTTAGCCTTACTCTTAGTCAATTTTTTAGCTCAACGATGCCATCAGCAATAACCCGCCACCAGGAATCATCTGGAGAGCGAAAATCAGCATAGAACCCAGTTCAGCTGTGGCCGTATTAAAAACCAAAATGTATAATTTCCTTCTGAGCAGGGTTGTGACTGTATTCCACGTAGCATTCTGCCACGAAAAAATAACAGGCAGTAAATAAAAGTACAGCTACCTCAGGATTCTACTCGACAATCGAATTGATGCGTTCTAAATTGAACCACATTCATAACGAAAACGAAGATCCTTATACAACAGCCGAACCCACGCGCAAAAAGGGAGAGGTCTTCGTCGGTAGTGGACGTTAGGAAACGAATCGAATGCAGGAAGCCTTGAGGTTGGTACAAGATGTGTGATTCAGGTCATTTAAAAAAGGCTTTTTCCCATTCACACGGGACGGCGACTATTAGGTTGGTACACATAATATGTCCGATTTTATTGTTTTAAATTTCCATGTAGTTTTTTTAAATAAAATTTTGCCATCTATGTATTTTTAATATATATTTTTGAAGCACAAAGTCCGTTCTTCCTATTTCTACACCTAGTATTAACTTTTTTATGATTTATTTTAACATTTTTATAGGCTTTTACTATTAACCATGTGGTATTCGTGCCCCTTTTTTTGTACGAGTGGAAGAGTGGGCATAATGTCGCGGCAGGAGCTCGGAATATCACTACATTTGTCGCGAAGGTAGTATTGGTGAATCAACAGTACGAACATGGTTCCGGAAATCCCGATCTGGTGAATTCGACCTCGAAGATAAGGCAGGTTGCGAACGTCTCAGTGAAAATGACGAGGACTAATTGAATACACTAGTGGAAGCAAGCACGCGAAGAACTGTTCGAGAGCTTGCATAAAAGCTTGGCGTAAGCACAAGAATAATTTCCACTCACTTGAATCGCATAGGAAAGACAAAAAAATTCGACAAGTGGGTGCCACACTAATTCAACGATAATCAAGAAACATTGCCCTTTTGATGCGTCGTCTGCTTTTATTCCGCGTAACAAGAACGACCCTTTTCTTAATAGAATTGCGCCGCGCAATGAGAAGTAGATTTTGTGCGGCAACCGGCGAAGTTCAGCTCAATGGTTGGATTGCGATCGAAGTCCACAGCTCTTGTCAAAGCCGAAGTTGCACAAAAAAAAGTTATGGTGACAGTTTACTGGTCTGCAGCTGGCCTAATTCATCACAGCTTTTTGAAATCGGGCAAAAGGATTACGGCAAAAAAGTGTTGCCGACAAATCGACGAATTGCACCGTAAACACTGTAAACTACGACCGGCATTAGTCAACAGAAAAGGACAAACCTTGTCGACGACAATGTCAGACCTCACGCTGCGGATCCACCGCCGCAGAAGTTGAATGAGTTGAGCTACAAAACTTTGCCTCATTCGCCATATTGGCCAGACCTCTCGCCTACCGACTATAACTTCTTCAAGGACTATGATAACTTTCTGAGCCAGAAATGCTTCACCAAGAACAATAACGTAAAAAAAATGCCTTCAACGAATTCATCGCTTCCAGAACTCCTGAATTTCAAACAATAGGAATAAGTATACCAGCTCTTTGTTGAAAAATCTGCTAATTTTAACGATTCTTATTTTGATTAATAAGGTTTAGTACTGGGAAAGGTATGGCTTTTCGCATCTATCATCTATATTAAAGTTTACAATTAAAGTCAGGCCTTTCACATGTAAAAACCTAATAATGAGGTGGATAAGACAGTGGTAGTGATGTCCGTCATCATGATCATGGTGCTAGTTCGATTCCACACGGGGACTACCAAGCCTCTCATCACTTCGGGGTCGGGAAATTGCTACCGGACTTGCCTGAGAAAATATCGCTCTCCGCAATCCAATTGGGAACACTCCAGCCCGGTATCTCAGGACTCCAGGGAAAATTGCTCGACCAGCATTCTAGAACATTCAAGTTGAAATGAAAACCTTCAAGCAGCAACTGATGACTCACGTAAAAACTTGTAGGACCTTCGTGGGCGATGGAAGCGAGGAAAAAACTGGATGTAACAAGTTCTGGGATCAACACAGCAGACGTACAGGTGGATTAAATACAATAAAATAAAAATAAATACAAATACAACCTGATAGCAAACCGAAGGTTTCGTCAAAACAATGTCGCTGTTGTCCCAAGGTTCTATACGGGATCAGAATGTCGCTCCCTTGTTCAAAATTTCAGTTTTAGCGGAAAAGAGAAAAGGCGGCTAAATTCAAAGAACGAAATCCCAAAACCACTATAAACTGGAGCTTATTCAACTTATTAGCCGGCTGTTGTGAAGATACCGTTGTCGACAACATCGACGAAGAATACTATCGGCTCATTCAACATCTTCACGTTAGCGCTATGAAAGTTGAAAGTTCGAAAGTCACGAAGAGACGTCTGTCTCCAGAAGCACCCGAGCTGATACGCCAGCTTGGAATCGCACGAGCTGCAGGCAACCGCGAACTAACGTCCGAACTTGCAAAACAATGCAGACAGGCGATAAAAGAAGGTCTTAAAGAAAGAGGAGCAGTAGTCATGGTCGAAGCCGAGAAGGCTGCGAAAAGCATTCGCAGAGCTCACTGAAGTCGCTAATTATAAGAACAAGGTGATTGCGTTCCGGCGCCGCGCCCACATTTATAACGTCCAGAAAGGCAATGGTGAAAATCATTCACGAATACTACTCAAATCTCTTCAACAACCACGTCCTCCTTCCTTAAATGTAATAAAAAAAGAAATGCAAAGACCCTACTCAGTGGAACGCCTCCAATACTGCGGGTACAGCTGACTAACTTTGTTAACGAACACATCCAGCCAGCGTGTAGGGTGCTCGTCCTAGAGCGCTCTTGCATTCTCTCGGAGTCCACTCTACTGTTCTTTTCGTCCATCTGTCGTCGGTTTTTTTCATTATGTGACCGGCCCATCTATGTTTCGCTATCGATGTATATTCTCCTAGATCTCGAAGATTTGACAGATTTAGAAGGTTAGGCCTTCGCATTCCGGCTAGATATTGAGAGTGCCGGTTATACTTCAGAAGACATCGCTCAAGCGCTCTGTGAGTAGTTCGAAGTATTCTTGACGTAGTTGACGTAACAACCCACGTCTCTGCAGCATAACAGAGCGTTGGGAGGACAGAAGAATCAACGAGAAGAGCGCGGATTCTCGAGTCCTTCAGTTGGTCGGTGGCTTCTTTGAGAAGCCCGAATGCGGCTCAAGGTCCTCTCCTTCTTATATCTAGATCCTCCTTCATGTTGTTTTCCATGTTCATTGATCGCCCAAAGTGTACGTACGAGGTGGTCTCTGCAATCAGAGGGCAATCCACTTCAATTATTTCGCCTTCGCACCATGGGTTTTTCATGAACTGGGTCTTTTTTCGATTTATGCGCAGCACCATCTTTTTCCCCACTTGGTTGAGTTCGTTGATCATCAACTCTGCTTCGCTAGTACTTTTTCAGAAAATAATACTTTCGTCGGCAAAACGAAGGTTTGATAGGAATATTCCATCAATACGCATGCCTTTCTCATTCCAATTGAGTGACTTCATTTTCCACTGCAGTGCGGCACTGAACAGCTTTGGCGGTACTGCATAGTTCTGTAGAACTCCTTTTTCCATGGGTATGGTAACAGTCAGACAGAGTTCTTATGTAGGACGGGTTCACTCCTTGGTCGGCAAGTGCTCATGGGATTAAATTCGTTTCGACACAGTCAAACGATTTTTCATAGTACGCATTGGTTAGGACTAGAGACAAGTGGTATTTCCGACAAACTTCGATGACCCTCGATATGGTTTGGATGTGGTCCATGCAGCAAAATCCTTTTCGAAATCCTGCTTGCTTTACTGGTTGCCCTCATCCAGTGTCCTTGATACGCATAATCTTAGTGAAGAGCTTGTAGTGAACACTCAACAAGCACATCGGACGATAGTTACGAACATCCGTTCGGTCACCTTTCTTAGGTAGGATAACCGTGCGCTTCATCCTTTATTAGGCTGGTGTCTCTTCATTTTGGAGGTGAGCTGTCATATGGTTTGCAAGAATTACGTGTAAGTTGTGGCTTTCAGCTCCAAGGAAAGCGGCGATGATATTGTCGTGTCATGGAGCCGTGCCTGTCTTCATGTTTTCCATTACAACTCGAACCTCCGATGAGTGAAAACGTTGTTGTAGGGCGTTTTCTTCGTTAATTGTGTATCATGAGCGGAATTTTTGACGATTCCATTTTCTTTCATCAGGGCCAGCGGAACATTATAATCACAGAAGTCTCGACGACATCTTTTCACACTGCTTCTTTTCTCTGTTGCTTTCAGTAGTTCCTTTTGCCTGTACCGATGTAGCTCTTCCTGCAAATCTCTCCTGCAGCTGGTATTTATCACTAGTCGTGTTAAGCGTGTTGCAGTAGGATCAACCTTCAGTTTCCTTCCTTTTTCGTGTAACTCCTTAGTAGTAATGGAGATGCGATCCAATCTTCTTGCTTGGGAATAGGCGAATTTGGCACAGCTTTTCAGTCCTTCGACAAGCAGCTCGCACTCTTCGTTCGGATCTTCTTTAATCTGCCATTTATGTTTGCATAAGGATTCGTTCAAAATGTTCTCGTAGCATACAGCTAGATTTCTTCCTGATAGTCGATGACACGAATCCTTTTCCCGCTTACGGTTGAATCGAATCGTTGCGCGAAGAGGGCTGTGATCGGGCCCAGTACAGAGTAACGGGACTACCGATTTGTCAAGTAGGCACCATCTCCTGTTTGTCAGAATGTGATCGATCTCCGCATGAGTCATGCCGTTACGAGACTCCCATGTCCAACGGGGGCCTTCTTTCTTGAGACGTGGTGCAGACAGGAGTCCTGCGAGGCGGTTCCCATTCTTATTTCTTTCTCCTAATCCAAAATTTCCGTTCCTATATTCGCTCTCTTTGGCCTTTCCTATTCTGTCGTTTGAAGTCTCCGACAACAAATTTATGATATGCTTTATCATTGCAGATAACTTTCTCCAACTGATAGTAGAACACATCTGAATCGTACTCATCAGTTGCGTCGGTGTGAGTAGCTATTGATGATTGTGATCTTCTAGTGACGCGTTAGTTGAAGACGGAGGGCTGCTATGCGAGGGAAAAGGATCTCGTATGAGATTACGAGATGGACAATGGACGGTTGAACGACAAAGCCTACACCGCCAACATGTCGTGACGTCGTGACGGGACCTTCTTTCAACGGATGGTAAGGGCCCCGTTGCTTAGGTGACGTATGTCAGTCTTCTTTATTTTTGTTTCTTGTAGTGCAATCACATAAAGTTTGATGCGATCGGCGGCTTCAAGAAGGGTGTGAAGATCGGCTCTTCTGTGGAGAGTGTTCAGGCATTATACGTGCAGAGTAAGAAACATTCTCCATGGCGTATCACGTGTGTTCGTCAGATCCGGTTCCATTGACGTTCTGCGCATCGTGAGATTTTGTCGTCTCTCTGGTCGTTTCAATGAGTGACGTCATAGACGTGAACACCCAGTGTGTGGGGTACTGAGGCTAGCCTATTGTTGCCTGTGCAGCTTGGTCCTTCCTGGAGTCTTCACTTAACCTTGCAAGGGCGTATCCAGGTGTTCACCACAAAGTGGATCGGAGGGAGGTATCCACAAGCAACATGCCATTGTGTAGTAAAAAAGGGGATTTTACTCTCTTTAGCAAAAAAAAAACAAGTGAGCATCGAATATACCAAAAATCGCGCCTTGTGATGGACAACCTTCTTTATCAAACATATTTAAACTGTGAGTAAAAATGCATTGCAAAGAGAACGAAAACTAAAAGATAGTGCAAATCATAAACTTAAACAAAAGAAAAGTGTGAAAAACAACACCTATAATGAGATGAATACCGTCGTTTAGAGCAACGACAGTGGTTCACAATCTCAAAGGCTAAGGTGAGTGTAATTTATGAAAGGCAAGAAAAACTGCAAAAGCTAACTGATAAGTATCACCCTTCTCACTCACATAAAATTCCATACACCTAGAAATTTAGGAACATCAACAGAAAAGATTTTAGTGTAAAAGGCATGGCAACAACAGTCGAAAGTGACTAGAAGGAGTAATACCACTTGCTTAGATACTTGGATGGCTCGCCTGGTTGTGCGTGCCGCACCATAATTTCGGTTTTTTGGTGTTTTGCTAGCTTAGTCATTGTCGTTCACTGGAGTTCTGAGGTCAGCCTGGCAAAAGTCTGCTCAGCTCTTCACCACCACGAGCAGTCGCCAGCCTTTATGGATCAGAGGGAGGTTTGACACCATGCGACTAGTTTCATACCAGGACGGTGGTGGATCCTGGCATTGGTTTACTATTAGTTGGGTTTCCTGACGGAAACGTGGGACTCCCTCCCAGCTTGGGAGACCTTGCCGGAAAACGATTCCACCGTTGTACATCTCAGCTCGACTCCCAGGAACAACTCCCATCCACGATGAGGCGGTAAACCGTTAGGAGGAAAGAAGCAATATTAGCGATGAGCATTAAAAAACGATGAATACATTGTCAATAAAAAGCAGGTGTCCAGTTTGAGGCGGTTTGAGTGCTGATCCACGAGTGGCAACAAACAGGACAACACCTCGATTCGAACCACTACGTACTGTTGGTCCAGCGAGAACAATAGGGATAGCCCACCAGGTGTCTCCAAGCTAAAAACGCTGTTTGACCTAACAAAAGAAATTCGCTCCGTAAAATAGCACCATGACAACTCATTCCTTGGTACGAGCTTTAAAAAATCCAGAAAAGAGAAAAGGAATGAAGTATAGGAAAACCCATGTCTCTTCTCCAAATATTCAAACAGTGACGCAAAATTATTTCGAGGGCTTTTGATGTAAATACAACCAAAATGACACTGAGATGTTTGCAAATCTCGGGGCCCCGGACTAGCTTCGAAGCTGCGATTATCCTTTGCGGGTCTCACGTGTTACCCAGTGGGCCGCCGTAATCTTTGCTTTGCCTTTCCCTTAGAGAGGCAGACACAAATAAATAAATAAATGCAAAAGCACCACTGCATTCTTCTCACATTAAGCCGGGAAATCAGTCTGCGTGTGATTTTTTAGGCATGTTAGGACGCCTTTTGCAATATTATCTTAAAAGCGAAGGTGCTTGCTGAGATGGATCGAAGAGGAACCATCCAAGAAAAGGACATCCATGCAATTCTACTTTCAGCCGTAAATGAAGTGCGGAAATAAAGCGCTTGATATACGTTGTATGTTCTAATGTATCGGTGTGAATTATACGATATAAGCAGTGTATGCAGCGTATAGTGTGTGTACATTCACATGTGGATATCCTTCACATCTTGTTGTGTGTCATACGTGGGACGCACATTACGTGTATCACACACTACGTTAGATATGTGTTGTGGCACCGATAACAAGGAGGCTACAGGTGAATGAGTCGAGAACAACTTCACCGCCAAATAAATAAACATTTATAGAAAATTAATGAATAATCGGGACTAATAAGATAAATGACTAATTTCTTTTCCACCGTAGGGCCCTTCAAATCCCGCTGAACACGATTTCTGTAAACATTAACGCCTTTGTAATACCCAAGGGCACTTCATTAAACTGGTTACGGTTGCCT